AAACCTTTCACTGGTTTGGAGGGGTGCGACCGGGCCAGCACAAGGCGACTCCGACGCACCCAGGTCCGTCCGGCAGGCGAAAGATGCAACTACAGTGGCGTTGCCGCATCGCACAGCAACGCCTCATTGGCAGCTTGGGCTCACTCGGCGGCCGTACTTAAGGAAGGGTGTACTGCAACAGAAGCTGACATGCAAAGTCAGCAGGAACTGCTAGAGCTATGAAAGCAGTGTGGCTAACAGCCGAAAATCACAAGCAACGCAACATCAGATGTCGCGTCGAAGATCGGTGAGAAAATCAGGTGGTATTAACACTACAGTGGTCGGCTGCCCAAGCGGCGTCCCTCATCGGATAAACCCCAAGACTCACCTGTTGTAGCCACTGACTGAAGGCTGCTGGCTGATAGCACAGAAGCGCACGGTCCTGCAAGTACGGCTGCTTTAGGAGACTCGTCCACGTTCGAGCTGTCACGGCGAGGGACTTGCAATCTGACAAGAGGCCTGGGCACTTGGAGCCGACCTCGCAGGCATCCATGTAGCAGACATCCGCACAACGCTTGTGGCCAAGGTCCTCGAGCTGTGTTGTCGACTTTCCAAGGAGTCTTTGGCTCTCACTGAGATTCCGGAGTACCCTGGCAAGCTTCATGTTAAAGCTGTCCCATCCCCCGGCACAGTGGTGGTGCGCAGAAGCCGGGCACTGCTCGTGCACCGCATGTGCCAAATCGCTTTGGCAGTCCGTCTGGGTCATCTCCACGCACTCACTCAGAAGCTTATTCTGGCATTGGATCAGGTGCATCGGGTACACGTCCGCGCAGGCCGGTGCAGCCATGCCGACGAACAGAGCCTCATCCGCCGTCTGGTCTTTCATGATGCCAACTAAGCGCCTCGAAGCCCTTTGCTTCAACTCCCCATCTGCATCTTGCTGGCAAGCCCACAAAGCCTGAGTAACGTAGATGTCACGGGCATCCACGGCCCCGCGGGCCACATCGGAGGGGCTCACCGAAAGGCTTGTCGTCTCCACGCTGTCAACATTCTCATTCTCAAGTGACTTGTTGCCGTAGCTGCACAAGTGGCTCCTGACGGTAAGTGTTGCGACCTCGGAGATTAGGCTGCAGAAGGCTACAGACTTGAACTTGCCAAGGGCGGCGTCCCGCATTCAGCTCACGAAGAAAATGTCATGCCCAGCTCTGCACGGCAGCCTACGACTACCGCAACGACCTCACCACGTGTAGGTGCTGGGCCAGAGGCTACTAAACTCTAAACCCTAAGCTCTAAAGCCTATATGTTCAGGGTTCTTGGTTGTTTTTTTTTTTTTTGTGGGGAGGGGGGGTAGGGCTTTTGGTCTTTAGGGTGTAGGGTTGTGGGATGCTTTTGGTTTTTTGGGGTTTAGGGTTCTTGCTTGTGGGGGTTTTAAGTGTGGGGGTTTATCTCAGGTGCCTGCAGCTTCATAAAGCGAGGGCGAGTTCATCGCGACATGGCGCAGGCCATTCTCAGCCCATGCTTGTACGACTTTTGGCTATGGGATCTAAGGCTGGGTTTAGGGTTTAGGGTTTAGGGGTTTATGGATTAGGGGCTTAGGGTTTAGGGTGAAAACGACTTCAAGATTCGGTACTTGGGTTTAGGATAGTAGTTATTGATCTGGTTTAATATGTGGGGAGAGTAGAAGATTGTTAGGCGGAGACTTGGACACTTCGGGTGCCATCTTGGAGGCTGAAGCAAGACGGTTCTCGAAACGTTCCGAAGCAGCCGCCCGTTGATTACGCGGGGGTTCAGCAAGTTATGCTTCCTACAGCGAGTCAACTGAAAGACTGAATCCACAGCCAAAGCCACCCTTCCATAACTCAATGTAGGGATTTAGGGTTTAGGGAGTTATGGATTATTGGTTTAGGGTTTAGGGCTTAGGGTTTAGGGTATCTCAACTGCAACTAACTTGGTAGGATGCTCAAACCGACCCGAACGAATGCAGCTGACTTTCCATGCGCCCATGGAACTACTCGATGTTTCGTAGCTAATACTCTTCAGGGCCTTGGGCACGATAAATGCAGCGAAACTGTGAAAAAGTCACACGCAGGCTTCACCTGCACATAACGCTTCACTCGATGGCTGCTGCTACCCATTGGCCCCGAATCTGGAAATCCTCAACTCCTCTGGGGTTTAGGGTGTAGGGTCGAACCAGACACCCTCAACCCTAAACGCTCAACTCTAAACCGGGCACTCAGAGAGCCATATACCCCTTAATTAAGGAATATATACTTTAAATCATAAGATTAAGGACCCTATACCCCTAAACCGGGGAGGCACTACTCTCGGAAGAGCTGGACTACGTCGCCCTGCGAGTTGCCTGTGGCCTGAGAGACCCACGCCTGGCAAGAGCGACGAAGCTGGCTTTAGGGTTTCGGGGTTTAGGGTTTCGGGCTTGGTTCGGACTGTGAGTTTAGGGTTTGACCCTAAACCCTAAACTCTATAGATCCTAAACCCTAAGCCCTAGACCCTAGACCCTAGACCCTAAACCCTAAAACCCAGAAGCCCTAAACCCTAAGGCTTCCCTTATTGCAGAAGCTTGTGTAGCCTCAGAGACCCTAGGGTTAAGTCTTTAGGGTTTGAGGACGGGAATATGGGGGTTCAGAGAGGGGCCGAGGGTTGATAGGGTTTATAGGGTTTTAGTATTTAGGGTTTAGCAATATAGGGTTTTAGGGTTTAGGGTTTTGGGGTTTTGGGGTTTAGGGTTTTGGTTTTAGGGTTTAGGCTTTAGGGTTGGTCCGACGCTAACGTTTACCTTATCCTACCAAAACCTATTCTTTTGTAGGGTCCCTATAAATTCCATATTAGGGTTTACATGAAGAACCTACAAAATTGTCGGTAATGGTAGGTTTAGGTTGGCTTTAGGGTTTTGGCTTTAGGGTTTAAGGGTCCGCAGCGCCCAATACATAAGGGGGTTCTTCAAGGGTTCCTTAAGCGATCTATGCGGGATTTCTAGGGTGTTAGAGGGGGTGTTTTTAGGGTAATAAGGTACTTGGGGTTTGGGTAGTAGTTATGTAGGTTAGTTTTGCGATACCCACCTTTTTGTCTAACCGAGCCGAACCACCAGACATAGGTACCAAAATGCAGGGGCTTGGGTTATGACCCTCTAAGAAAACCTCAGGTAGTGGCCGTGCTTTGTGATCCATCCGTGCTGCCGAAGTCGGAGAGCTTGGCTGCAGCCGTGCTGGTTGGACAGGAGAGCTGGGAAGCAGGCCTTCGGCTGCACGCGTTTCAAGGTTTAGGGGTTTCGGGGTTTTGGGTTCATGGTTTAGGGTTTAAGTTTCAGGGTTTTGGGGTTTTGGGTTTATGGTTTAGGGTTAAGTTTTAGGGTTCTGGGGTTTTGGGTTCATGGTCCTTTTAAGCGAGGTCTGCCAGTGGTACCTTTTTGGTTTTCATTGTTGTGGACCGGGGGCGGCGGGGGGTGTCCTCTCATTAATAATCTACACGTAGGAAGAAGGGTACCCTTATGTGATCAAGGGGCTATTGTGGAGCATAGTTCAGGGTTCCCTACCAGGGACTAGGGGTTCTGAGGAAGGGACGGGTTGCTTAGTGTCGGGGTTCTCTACAAGGTTCCCCCAAAACCCTAAACCCTAAGGTTCAAGATTTAGGGTTCTACGGAAGGGTTCTCTTCTGCAGCTCAGGACTTGGGAGCTTAGGTTTGAGGCGTTGGGGCTCTGGGTTTGCTCTTTAAACAACCCTACTGAGTTACTGGACCAAACGACCCTTAAAACTGACTGGTTCTCAGTAAGGAATGGGGGAATGGGGTATTGGGACTGCTATCGGGGACATTAAGGGACTATCATAGGGATCCCTTCCCCCCATTTCCTACTAAGAACCAGGGAGAGGCTCAACAAGCCTCTGCAATAAGGGAAGCCTTAGCTGGGTTCTTGTGCAGGGATGTAATTTAAGTTACCATTATAAGGAAACCGTATATTATTTACTCTAGATTCCTTTTATGGTAACTTAAATTAAATCCCCTAACAAGAACCCAGTCTTTATAAACCCTACTGGACCAAAGGACCCTTAACAGCAGGGGCCCTATGCCCTGGTACTATGAATCCCTTTTTGCGGTACATGAGCCTTACACCCTTTTCGGGTTCATTTCGTCCTGAAGGACCATAAACCTTAAGTCTTTACCCTTAAACCCTAAACCCTTCAAAAATATGGAGTTTACAGGGCCCAGGCACGACTCTAATAAATTCAAGTCTTTCAGGTCTAGGATATAGCGATATATACTTCCCTCAATGCTAAACTGCACTGTTTTGGGTTTGGGGCTTGGCTTTGAGCGAATCTTACCTTGTGAGAGTTCTGTGCTGTCAGTTCGATCCAAAGCGAAGGGTGGCCGTATTGCTACCATCACTACTATCCCTAGTACGATTAAAATCCCGAGGAGGTTGTGCAAGTAGGAAGTGGCTGGCGCAGTCGTAATACTATTTGCGGTACTAGTGCTGGCATTAAGATGCCGGTCCTGTTGGCACTATCAATCCGAGAAATAAAGGGCAAGTAATGTATTGTCGAGAATTTAGATTGGAAGGAGCAATGAGGCCGGCAAAGAAGTCACGGCGATATGGCGGGACAACTGGAAGCCCTGTCACGGCGGTATCCAAAAGCAGGCGAACAATCAACAAAAACATTGGGAAGACAAGAAAGTGTATGAGAGGCGAAAGCTTGTCTGCGGGGATGTATTGGGGTCCCTTTGGCTTGTGTGGCATTTGTTTAGACAGGCAAGACTGGGCGGGAGAGGCTGGTATGCCTGTGCATTTCCTTGTGTATGTTACGGTTGTTGTTCTTCTTTGGTGCATTGGATTCTGCGTCCCCAGGTCCGGGAGAACTGAAATCCAGGAAATCGCAAAATGGCGTGCAGTGATTCAACCGGGTGGAGATGTAGAATAACGGGTACAAGCGGACAAGCAACACAACGCCAATTGCAATGTAATGGAAAGCTAGCAGACAACAGTGAAAAACACAGGGGGAACACGATAGTCGAAAAGAGAGGAAAAGTATTCGAAGCACAACTGTGAGAAGAGAGAACGTTTCTGTCTGTCAACCCCGTCGTTCTGGAGTTGATCATTTCCCGGTGTTTTCTCGTGTTTGGGATCCTGGCTTTCATTGGGTCAAGCGGCGGGTTCTCATCTAGATACTGAGTTGGCTGGCGGCTACTGCAATCAGACCTCCTCCTCCTCCTACTAAGTGGAGGCCCAGGCGACCTAGTAAGTAGGTTATAAGTAGAATTATAAGTACCCTAAATGGGGTTACCCCAATTATAACCCTACTTATAACCGACTTACTAAGTCCGCTGGGCCTCCAAGTACTGCTCCTGCTGCTACTACGACGACTACTACTGCTGCCGTTTGCCATTTCCATTTCCGCTGCCACTTCACTGCTGCTCCTGCTACCGCTACTGCTATTGCTGCTAATGCTCCCATCCTGCCGCCCAAACCGGGACCCCCACTAAGCCTTTCCATCATTCCAGCGAACCGCAATACCCCTTAATTATGGAATATTTCCCTTAAATCATAAGGTTAAGGTCCCTATAATTTAAGGTATATTCCTCAAATAAGGAGTATCAGGTTTCCTGGGATCTCCTGACATGTCAGGCGGGCCAGTGCGCGAGGAGATCCGCAGACTTTTCTTGGCTTGTTGCCCCAAGCTGGGTTCTTGTTAAGGGTCTTAATTTAAGTTACTTTAATAAGGAAACCCAAAAAGTTCCCATGGATCCCTATTATGGCAACTAGTACCATGGAGCCTATGGGTAGTATACCCATTGGCCCCACGGTGCGTATATGTAGGGACTACTGTGACTAGTGTAAGGCCAAAGTATGCATGATTTGGACGCATGGACCCTCAGCGCTTAGGGTTATCACGGTGACAATTGGAAGGTCTACAGGCCTTATTTCCTCTAGTGCGTAGCTAGGCTGTAGATACCCTAAACCCTTAAAACCCTAAACTCGAAGCCCTTACTACTAAGCCTCTGAAACCCTATGCTAAGGCCTTGAACAAGATCCCCAAACACCTTGGTCCTAACCCCCGGACTTTCTTGGAACTCGGCTGTTGCTCACTCTTGAATCGGCCAAGCTGTTATAGTCTTCCCTACACGTTTCGTGCCCCTTTTGAGGTAGGGTTGAGGGCAATCTC